GTGATTTTTCTTTCATGGCTAGCAAATAAGGGTGATTTGAAATTTAATTTTCAACTTTTTTTATCCTTATTTTTTTATTTATTTATAAAAACTCTCGAGATTCTTCAATTTTATTAACTTTCTCTTTTTAACTCATTTTTATCAACTTTTCTTCAAAATTAGGGTAGCTAGGATTTGGGAAAGAACATATTTGCTCTACATCTTCTCTCTATAAGACCAATTATAGTTGTTTTGCCTCATTATTATGAAATTTGGGACAAATCTGTTGAGCTAGCCCTCCCAAGTTGGGTGGCTCAACAATGGAGGTGCACCTTGAGTGCACTAAGAATGGCAAAAAACTTGGGAAGTTTTTATTTGAAGATGCACAGTGGTTTCTGACACAGACATTTCCTATTCTTAAAGAAAATGGGAAAAGCAAAGTGGACTCCTCCAACTTTGGATATGTTAACATGTTAGTCCCTAATAGGATAGTGTTACTATTCTTGTATCCAAAAGCTCCCTATTTTATCTCTTGTTTAAATTTAAAAGAGTGCAGATGGGTGAGTGCGTGAAAAATAGAGTGGGTAACTTGTGTAGAAAAATAGAGTGAGGTTGAGAGCAAGTCTCCTTTGGTGATGCTAGAACTCTGAGAGATTCGGATTATGATCCGAAAGTTGTAATCCATTTTCAGTAGTGGATTGTTTTTTCATCTAGGCAAGTGTCCTGTGGTTTTTTCCATTTGGGTTTTCCATGTAAAAATTATGGTGTCATCTTTATTTTATTTTCTTTGCTAATTCTATTTTTGGTGGTTGATTGTGTTTGTTGATTGCTTTGATTCTGGGCATTGGACCATTAAAATCACAACAACTAGTATCAGAGCAAGCTGCGCATACAAGGTGTTTGTGAAAAATCCCAAGTGAGATTTGGGTGACTTTTAATTCCAGCAACGATGGCATATGAAAAAGATGGTTCAACCATGATTAAGCTGAACACTTCTAACTACTCTTTGTGGAAGACTTTGATAGAGGACAAGCTATTTCGTAAAGACCTCTATGACCCAATTGAGCACAAAGGTATCAAACCTCCAAAAATTAATGATGTTGAATGGAAAAAGATTGATCGCAAAGCTTGTGGCGTAATCCGTAAATGGGTTGACATGAGCGTGATTCATCATGTGGCTCAAGAGAAGGAGTCTTATAAGTTGTGGACTAAGCTTGAAGAGCTGTTTGAAAGAAAGAATGCCTTGAAGAAAGCATCACTCATTAGAAAACTAGTCAATCTCAAATACAAGGAGGGCAAGAATGTGTTTGACCACTTGAATAATTTTCAACAAATTTTGAATGAACTAGTTACAATGAAGTTGGCCATTGATGATGAAGTACAAGCACCGATTTTATTAAGCTTTCTTCCGGAAGTTGGGAGACTTTGGTGGTAACTTTAAGCAACTCAACAAGAAATGGGGAAATGACTCTGCAGCTGGTTAAAGACAGCATCTTGAGTGAGGAATCCAGAAGAAAAGAGCAAGGAATTATGAGTTTTGAGTCTAAAGCACTAGTTACTAAGTATAGAGGGAAGAGTAAGCAAAGGTTTACTCGAAAAGACAATGACAGACAGTCTCAAGAGAGGTACAGCAAGGGGAAGTCCAAAGGTAGATCAAAATCCAAGAGTAGAGTGATTTGTTACACTTGTGGAAAGCAAGGTCATTATCAAAAAGACTATTGGCACAACAAAGATAAAAATATTAAGAAGATGGCTGATACTCATGGAGAGAAGGAGGCCAAGGAGAACACTACTGCAATCACTTCTGATGATGAAGTATACCTGTTGTGTGAGAATGATAGCATTGATGTTGCTCATCATGATTCTACATGGGTTGTTGATACTGCTGCTTCTTATCATGTCACACCAAATAAAGACTGGTTTAGTTCTTATAAAGAAGGTGATTTTGGTTATTTGAAGATGGGAAACAGATTCGAAGCCAAGATTGTGGGTGTTGGTGATGTTTGGCTTGAAACAAACATCAGGTCCAAGCTGAACTTGAAAAATGTGAGACATGTTCCTAAAATAAGTCTCAATTTGATGTCCATGGGTATGCTAGATGATGATGACTACCTTAATTATTTCAGTAATGGCACTTGGAAACTCACAAAGGGCACTGTGGTTGTGGCTAGAGGCAAGAAGAGATTTTCACTCTATGAAACTCAAGCAAAACAGTGTCAAAGACATATCAATGTTACAGAAGTTGATGCTACTGAGTTATGGGACAAGAGACTTAGGCACTTGAGTGAGAAGGGACTTCAAATCCTTAGCAAAAAGGAACTCGTACCCAGCTTTATAGTTAATCTTTCTAAAACGTGTGCTGATTGTTTAGCTGGCAAGCATCATAAAGTTTTTTTTTACACTTTACCCCTATCTAGAAGAAAATATGCACTTGATTTGGTTTACACTGATGTTTGTTTTATGAAAGATAAAAGTTTGGGTAATGCTACATATTTTGTGACTTTTGTGGATGACTTTTCTAGAAAATTGTGGGCTTGTCACTTGTCTAGTAAAGATCAGGTGCTGGAAAAATTTAAAGAATTTCAAGCAATGACAAAAAGAGAAACTGGTAGAAAATTAAAGTGCATCAAGTCTGACAATGGTGGTGAATACAATGGATAGTTTGAGCGCTATTGTAGAGAATAGGGAATTAAGCTCAAGAAGACCACTCTTAGAACTCCACAACATAATGGAGTTGCTGAAAGGATGAACAAAACAATATGTGATAGAATTGTCTATATGCTCTCTTATGTTAAGTTGCCAAAGTCCTTTTGGAGTGAGGCTTTAAAGACTTCAGTGTACTTGATAAATTGATCCCCTTCTGTTGTTCTAAATGGTGATGTTCCGGAGAAGGTTTGGTCAGGCAAAGAAGTGTCCTACAAGCAATTGAGGGTATTTGGCTGCAAGACATATGTGCATGTTCCAAAAGAGGAGAAAGCAAAGCTTGATGCAAAGACAAAATAGTGTGTGTTCTTGGGATATGGTGATGAGGAGTATGGCTACAAATTATGGGACTTGAAAAACAAAAAAGTAATGAGAACCAGAGATGTGGTGTTCCTTGAAAATGAGACTATTGAAGACTCAAAGAAGTAAGATGATAATGAGCGCACTCAAGAAATACTAGATAGTGATTATTGTACTCCTTCAACACCTCAACTGAGTGCTATGAATGATGATCACAGGGAAGTAGATAACCAGCAAGTTCAAGAGCCTATTGTTGAACATTTTGTTGAAGAAGAAACACACCAAGAAGAGCAAGTGCAACCACTATAGCAACCTCAACTTAAGAGGCCCACTAGACTTCATCAACCATCTTGGAAGTACTCTATTGATGAGTATGTGCTCTTAACTGGCAGGGGAGAGCTAGAAACTTATTATGAAGCTATGGAGAGTTAAAACAAGAAAGAATGGTTGATGGCAATGCAAGAAGAAATGGGTTCTTTACAAGAGAATGGGACTTATGAGCTGGTAGAGCTTCCAAAGGATAAAAAGGCTCTTAACAAAAAGTGGGTTTTCAAAGTAAACTTTGAAGTGAACAATCTGAATCCTAGGTTCAAAGCTAGATTAGTGGTGCAGGGCTTTGGACAACAAAAGGGCATTGATTATGATGAGATTTTCTCACCAATAGTAAAAATGACATCTATTCGAGCTATTTTGGCTTTGGTAGGTAGCTTAAATTTAGAAATTGAACAGGTTGATGTTAATACAGCTTTTCTCCATGGTGATCTTGAGGAAGGGATCTATATGAAGCAACCAAAGGGTTTCAAGGTGCAAGGCAAGAAGAATCTAGTTTTGCAAATTGAAAAAAAGCTTATATGGTCTCAAACAAGCTCTAAGGCAATGGTACTGTAAATTTGACTCTTTTATGGGGGAGCATAAATCTACTAGAATAGAATCGGATCATTGTGTTTATGTGAAGAGGTATACAGATGGTGATTTCTTGATACTTTTACTTTATGTGGATGACATGCTAATTTTTGGCCATGACACAAAGAAAATTGCAGCCTTAAAGACTGACTTGAGTAAGTCCTTTCTATGAAGGATTTGAGTCCAACAAAGCAAATTCTTGGAATGAAAATTTCTTGAGATAGAAAGACAAGAAGCTATGGTTGTCACAAGAAAAATATACTGAGAAGGTACTTGACAGGTTTAACATGAGTAAAGCAAAACCTGTGAGCACTCCACTTGCTTGCCATTTCAAAATTAGCACAGAGCAGTGTCCAACAAGAAAGGAGCAAGCAAAATACATGAAGAATGTGCTCTATGCTTCTGCAGTTGGTAGTCTAATGTATGCTATGGTATGCACAAGGCCAGATATAGCTCACGCAGTGGGGGTAGTGAGCAAATTTTTATCCAATCTTGGCAAGCAACATTGGGTAGTAGTTAAGTGGATTTTCAGGTATCTTAGAGGTACATCTCACATGTGCTTATGTTATGGTGAGCATGAACCATTACTTAATGGCTATAGTGATGCTGATTTGGGTGGACATTTAGAGTCTAGAAAGTCCACTTTAGGATACTTGATGCTTTATGCAAGGGGAGCAATTTCATAGAAGTCAAAACTGCAGAAAAGTGTATCATTATCCACTACAAAAGTTGAGTATATAGCTCTTTTTAAAGCAAGAAAGGAGATTGTATGGATGAAGATGTTTTTTTGAAGAATTGGGTCTTAAGCAAGAGAGATTTGTGCTGTTTTGTGATAACCAAAGTGTGATTTACTTGAGCAAGAACCCATAGTTCCACTCTAGAACCAAGCATGTTGATTTGAGGTATCATTGGATACGTGCTGCAATTGAAGAAAAGGCGCTTGATGTTGAGAAGGTTCACACAGATGACAACAACTCTAATATGATGACCAAGTCCTTGGTGAGAAGCAAATTTGAGTTTTGCAAATCACAAGCTGGCTTGGTGGAGCCCCCCAACTAGTTCGAGTGGGGGAGATTGTTGAGCTAGCCCTCCTAAGTTAGGTGGCTCAACAATGGAGGTGCACCTTGAGTGCACTAAGAATGGCAAAAAACTTGGGAAGTTTTTATTTGAAGATGCACAGTGTTTTCCGACATGGACATTTCCTATTCTTGAAAATAATGGGAAAAGCAAAGTGGACTCCTCCAACTTTGGATATGTTAACATGTTAGTTCTTAATAGGATAGTGTTACTATTCTCGTATCCAAAAGCTCCCTATTTTATCTCTTGTTTAAATTTAAAAGAGTGCAAATGGGTAAGTGATGCACTAAAATCACCCTAACAAGTGGATTAGTCGCTCTAAGTAATATAATGATGAGAGAGTGTCGAACCCACGAGGACTGTGTTTGACTAAGTACCAAAATAATTAATTTAAATTTATTTGAACAATCAAATAGGAAGAAACGTTAATTAAAAATAATAAAATGAAAATAACAAATAAACCTAACCAAGATAGGAGGTATTAAGGCATTGATTTCACCATAATCAATCAATATAAATTCTGGATTAATATATTTTCAAAACCAATTTATCGAGTGTTATTGTATGTGATGACAGATTTCTTTAAATTAATTAATTAGTTTTCTCAAGTCAAGTTAATTCTTCACTGGTTTGTTATATTAATCATATCTCTATGTAATTTTAAACAAATTAATGAGCATTAAATTCTATGGAAACCTCTAGCTTAAGAAGGGGGAGCCCCTAACTCTCTTCTCTTCCTCCACTACCACATGTGAGTTAATTACCTCTCGATCTCATAATCTAGCACACGGTTTATATTATTATAGGTTTAATCTACGCAATTCTTTCTCAAATTCATGCATAAATCACTAAATCAATTGAAAGATGATCAGGCTTCCAATGTATTAAGTTCAATAATATAAACTTCTCATGCGAATAACTTTAATTGAAAGCATAAAATCACAAAATTTATATTGAATTGATTAAGTTACATCATAACCTTAATGAAATAAATTAGTTTATAATAAAAATAATAAAATCTGAAATCACAGTTATGAATATAAAAATATCTAAGGAAAAACAAAATTTAATTTAAGGTAATTGAAATCCTTGATCTTCTCGTTTATGGATTCTTTGTCTTGATCTCTAAGAGTGCTCAAAAGAGAGCTGCCACCAGCCTTCACCAAGCTCCTTTACACTAAATTTGAATGGATATTTATAGGATTTTAAAAACCCTAATTGAATTAGAAGTAAGACCCACACCCATAACACCTAATTAAACACAGATATGGTGAAAATCGGGTAAGGGGTCAACACTTTCAACAAGGTGCCAACACTTATGTTAAGCACACGATGCCCTGACCGTGTCGGGTTTTTGTCCTTCTTAGCAATTTCTGTAATGGTAAAAGAACAGTCCTGGTCCCTGACTTCTGAATTTTGCGCAATTTGATCCTCAAGTTTTTGATCTCTGCAATTTATTCCTAAAACTTGTGATTTCTTCCAATTAAGTCCTTTCCTACACAAAGAATAAAAATTATGTAAAATCTCATAAAATCATCCAAATATCGACAATATCAAGGCAACAATTTTACATTAATATGTATATAATTTCAGCTCATCAGTAAGTGCATGAAAAACAAAGTGGGAAACCTATGTAGAAAAATAGAGTGAGGTTGAGAGCAAGTCTCCCTTGGTGATGCTAGAATTTTGAGAGATTCGGATTGTAATCCGAAAGTTGTAATTCATTTTCAGTAGTGGATTGTTTTTTTATCTTGGCAAGTGCCCTATGGTTTTTCTCATTTGGGTTTTCCATGTAAAAATTTTGGTGTCCTCTTTATTTTATTTGCTTTGCTTATTTTGTTTTTGGTAGTTGATTGTGTTTGTTGATTGCTTTGATTCTGAGCATTGGACCATTAAAATCGGAATAAAATCCAATCCTGCATTTCACCTATTTGGGAAATGATTTAAATGAAGAACCTTACTTGTCAGGTATGAACAAATTAGTAGAGCAAAACAAGGGGATAGAGCTCGGAAGGATGGTGACAGTGGAGGAAAACGGTGAGAAAAGCATTTACAAAAAAATTCTTGAAACCCCATAAAATAATATATCCCAACCAATGTTCTATTTTTTGTCTAGCTCTCTGATTTCATGGTGAAAGGAAGTATCTTGGTCATTTTCAAACTCGAAGGTTGCAGCATCATTTAAAAATTTCCTTTCTATCTTGCATACTTTGTGGAAATCCTTACTTAGTGCTCCTAGCACTCCTCTAATTTAAATCCATAATCCCTTGTTTAATCTTTCACTACATAAGCACTGTCCTTAAGGAAAGTCCTCTTTTTTCCCTAAATTTTCAACTCACTTAGTTTCGTAATTTATTTACATTAAAATCATCAACGCCAGGTAAGATTAGTAGCACTATGCTATGATTTTAAGAGCATCTAAATATAGTCTTCTTTTAATCAGAAAATTATTCTCTCTTCTCTAAATCATACACATGAATTTCACCCAGAATTTCAAAAAGGACCAATTCATCTGGTAAAGTTGTAATTTAAGATGCAAAAGAATGAAGCTTTAATAAAAAGAAATAACTGACTAAATCAATCATGTAGAAATCACCTGTACAACAGGAACTTCTCCCTCCAGAGACAAAATTAATGGCTCCTAAAGTCCTGTGGTACCAAACTGAAAGACCCAAATTGGGTCTCCGAAATTCTTTTATCTCTTACTCTTTCTCTTCCTCTTCTTCATCATCTCCCTTCTTTTCGACATGGCCATGTTGCGTTTCAAGGTTTTGCAAATCGGTTACCTCACTTTCCTGTGTCAAAGCAAGATAGTCATCTTCAAGGCGTTGAAGCTGCCGTGAGATAGAGGATTTGGGGGGTTTTCTCGAAAATACGGTTGGGTCGGATTCTTGTTGTGAGAATAAGGACTGCGTAGAAGATTGTGATGATAATGATGGAGATGAGGAAGAAGATAGGGTTTTGCAGGGCTTTAAGATTTCTTTGAAGCTTTGCAATAATGACATTGGACTCTTGAGGAATCCGAGCAGCAAAGGTTCGTCGGAAGTGTTCATCCTGAGACTTTCCGGTGTTTTAAACTTCGGTTCGGTCACAGAAACTTTTGTTAAAGTATGCATTTAACGCTCAACTTAGTCTAGAATTTTTATCTCCTTACCTTACATTTGCATTTATAGTTACACTATGAAATTTTTAATTTTTAACTTAAAATTTGAAAGATTTTAACCTTTAAATTAATAAAATTTGTTAATTTTTTTATTAAAATAAAAATAAAATATTTATAAAATCAGTTCTTAAAAATTAAAAATGTAATAAAATATTTTTAAAAATTTAAAATTAAAAATAATTAGTGAATAATTTTACCATATATATAAGAATAATATTAAATATTTACAATCAAATCAAGTATTAACTTAATCTAAAAAAAAAAATTTTCTTGACTATGATTAAAGAAAATTTTCTTGACTATATTTTCCTAATCTTTTAGATTTCTATCATAACTCAACTAAAAAATTTTATTTAATCTCAACAAGAATTATTTTTTCAAATTGAGCTAATTGCCGGATTTATTATAAATATCTAATACTATTTTAGTATATGTGAAAAAATTTTAACCTTTAAATTAATAAAATTTGTTAATTTTTTTGTTAAAATAAAACTAAAATATTTATAAAATCATTTCTTAAAAATAAAAAATGTA